TAATTAAAGCATTCTATAGCGACTTCATACAAATATAATGACAGGCAACGAAAGGGTTACTTTATTCTCAAAGTGACTGCCGTTTTAAATTGAAGGAACAGCTTTTTTGACTTACGACTTAATAATTTTACACTTGTTATAAGCACTGAAAGTAGTCATTGCATGCCTATCATGTTCGCTCTTCTGTTGGCAGAACAGGGCAAGTCAATAAGTCATGTCTACAGTACTTAGTCGCTACTAGATAAATAGGGTTAATTTACTACAGCGAGGAACGCTTTCGTATATTTTATGAAACCGCAGTAAACGCTGACCAAAATTACTGTTTACTCTTACCCTCGACGAACGCCTTCGATATAGCGTCACCCATTGGAAATAGTCCCTTCAGTCCCATGAAAGTCCCATGAAAGTCCCATAACTTAGTTGACATCATTGTGACATTCCGAACAGATTGTAACCTGAGGGTCTTTTGTGGAGATCCATTAAAAAAAAAAGACAAAGACAGCAACAAGAAAAGCAAGGCAAAACGAACTATTTCCACCTACTAGAGAAGTAGGGTTTATTACTGCGAAGAACGCTTCCATACATTTTATGAAAGCGCAGTAAACGCTGACCAAAATTACTGTTTACTCTCACCCTCGACGAACGCCTTCGATATAGCGTCTCCCATTGGAAATAGTCCCTTCAGTCCCATGAAAGTCCCATAATTTAGTTGACATCATTGTGACATTCTGAACAGATTGTAAGCTGAGGGTCTTTTGTGGAGATCGATTAAAAAAAGAGGACAAAGACAGCAACAAGAACAGCAAGGCAAAACGAACTAAAATGGCGGAGGAGGAGATATATACTGAGACTTCGAAAAAATCTGAGAAGGATGAACTCATTCCAAGCCATCCAAGATCATCGCCTGGCTCAGGCTGTACGTTCTGGTTGGTGTTTACAGCAGCTGTGATTGTGTTCGGCTCGTCTTTTCAATTTGGATATGGTACTTCGTGTATCAATGCACCAGAGAAGGTAAAATCTCAGTGAAACCGTGTTTAAACGCAATTCAATGAAGTGTTACATAACTGGCCTCTGCAGATATGCTTAAAACATTTCGACGAATATCTCAAGTTTTGGATATCAAAGGGACCCAAGACTTGGAGAAGTGCTTCCTTAATATCTCTCCTATAACATTGCAATTTCTTAACCTTATCCACTGAATATCCTTCTCTCTATACATAACAGTGAAAACGATCAATGTGATACAAATGTTATTTATAGCTATTTTATTTTTGGCAGTAAGTAGGGGAAGTTTGCACTCCTGCCTATTAGAGATAATAATTATTTATGTAGTACAGTACTGATAAATGGACTTAGTGTATGTCTAAGTTCACCATCTAGTTTTCTGTGAATGTAGCAATTTTAATTGGACCCTCAAACTAATGAGGGGCAGGAAGAGGAGGACAGCAAAAATGTGGAGCCAGGTTTAGTTTGTGTAGCTTTTCTTATGTGGTATAAATATAATTATATTTTTACTGCCTTTTTTCTCTATTAGAACATAAGAAATTATTTTCGTGAGAACTCAAGTTTCAGCCAGTTGATGTGGTCCACTGCTGTGGCAATTTTTGCAGTTGGAGGAATGCTAGGAGCTCTCATTGGTCCTGTTATAGCTGATTCCTTGGGCAGGTAAGCTACCTACCCCATGTGTTGTTGTTGTTGTTTTTTTCTTGTTGTTGTTATGGTGAAGCTAGTTTTGTAGAGGACTGCTACTGGTGACATATCACAACCTTAGCCAGTCATTCTCAAGTTTAATCAAGCAAACAAAAAAAGATGACTTGAAGATGGTTTTATTGAATACTTTTAATGAATTTTTAGGCCTCAAAAGGTAGTAATAATGGCAGTAATTAGTTGCTGCTTTTAAACTCAATTTGTCTCTTGAAATGAAGAATTTTGATCTTATTTGAAGAGTACCACCCATAATGTGAAGTATTACAAAAAAGGGTGATATTTTATGAAGTAAACACATGTCCAAAACATTGTGCCCTTATGAAAAACAATATGCACTAAAAACATTTACCAGATGAGGGTAATTTTTACCCGAATTGACCAATCAGAGTGCTTTGTTTGTTTCANATTCGGGAAAAACTAATCAAAGCAAACAAGTGATTGATCATCGGGACGCCACGACGATGTCCTCCTTTTCTTTCTGTTCTTAAAGAAAATCGATAAAACAGTCAACATTTTGAATTGTAATGTACGATGCACAGCGTTTCACTCGCAAAAAAACATGACACATACTAACTATGGACACATGTAGTCTGTGAACATCTTGGTGCCACGTCACGCACCAAAGAAACCATGTGCGTTTAGCCATTTCTTCCTTCCTGAGAAACTACTCGAATATTGCAGAGAGTGGTGTCACATTTTACTTCTGATGTAGCCACAAAACTCTTCGATGTATGCGTGATGGAAACTACTTTTTGAAAATCTTTATTTCCAGATTTTCCGAAGAGTGTTTCTTGCGAATTCGAGAGTGTACTTATCAAACTAAGTAATCTATGCTCACGTATCAAAAGTATCAGGCGTTTAATCTAATTAAAGCATTCTATCCGGCGACTTTAGCAGCGTAACTTGGAAGATCACGATGGATCCTCGAGCCTCCACAAAAATTTCCTTTTCAAAATTCCTTTTCTTTACGAAATCAATAGAACAATCAACAATTTGAACTGTAATGTAAGGTGCACAGCGTTTCCCTCGCAGAAAACGTGACACGTGTAATCTGTAAACATCTTGCTGTCTCATCACGCAGCAAAGAAAACATCCGGGTTAAAGTTATGACTCTTAGAGGACAAGAGATTTTTATGTGTTTGGCCGCTCTATTATGCGAACAGTTATTGCCAATTCGTGAGTGGTGTTGCCAAGATATCGTCATGGAAATATTTTTTCTCAGTACATTCAGCAGCAGTGAAGTGTCAGTCAAAAATGGTGCCATTCGGAGTAAACGTTCTTTTCTTAACTCAAGAAAAAAATTTTGGGGGCTCTGTTGTTGTTTGCCCTTTAAAACTGAACAAGTTGGAAAAATCGTAATTCTCTTTTAAAAAGCCACACCAACCCGTATTATACGGTTAATTTCAAGTCGTTTTATCAGTATTTCCTTCAAGCTCTGACGCCGGCACCCACTAGCAAGCGCAATTTTTTAATTCAATATCCACTATTGACGGAAAATGTTATAATAAATAAGTTGTCCAAATTTACAGCTACGCAGACCAGCCACCATTCCTCAGAAATTCCACTACAAAATTTTGTGTAATGGGGAAGGCAACAGAAAGAATTAAGAAAATTTAATCTTTTCCGAATAATATAATAATTTTAGAACGTAGTTGTCCCAGTTTTACACTGACCGTTTTCCTATTAAGAATGCTGCACACAAGCTTCATCTCACACTGAGAGGAATTTGCTAATTTCCTTTTCAAATTGTGGTCACCTACGTTCCATTATACTGTTACCACATCACTCAAGTTGACATGTACTAATAGAAACTGGTTTTTCATTGGTATGTGAAACCACGTATAACCACTTGTAACATTAAAAAGTTGAGCAAGTTGAGGTTAAGCTTTTTCATGAGCAAGTAGAGAAGCTGTGAGAATTTGCAATTTCAAATTACGCGGTAAAACAGAAATGCGCGCCTCAGGGTTGAAGTATCTCCTTTATAAATCATACACGCTGGTTAGCTCCAAGTGGCTAATTTAGAATTATTCACCAAACAAGCCAGCTCCTTTTTTACTCGTTTGCTCCTTTGTTACCGTTGCCGAGCCAAACGGGCCACTAAAGTAATACCCGCTTTTAGAGCAGGGTAGGTTCGTGATTGAAGTATGAATCAACAAGCTGTAAGCGAGAGAAATAAAAGAAATTTGACGAAGAATGGCGAGAAAAAAATTGTCATCAAGAAGGACTAGAGTTAGTGTTTTAAGAAGTCATCATGTGCCGGCGGCACCCGACCAGCAACCATATTGAGTTCTGCAGCGCTGTGCTTAAGCTTCTTTAAAGAAAAAGAAAATTGTCAGCCAGAAAATAGAATAAAGGATTGTCACTGGCAAGATGTGTTTCTGCCAAGAGTCTCCTGAGACTCAGCAGGATGCCTTTGCGTTCCCATCAGCGGTCTGTTTTTCAAGTTTTTAATTGGAACAACTCCACAACAACTTGTCTGCACGGAATAGGCACGCATCAGTCGGATATGATTAGATCAACCTTAACAAAACAATTTTTTCGGGTAGCGCATTTCGTAACCTTTCCATAAGTCAGACCTGTACCCCTTGCAGAAGGTTGATATACTTAAGGGAATATCAGACTTCCGCGGAATAAATGTGACACCTGTCATCGCAAGGTGCTTTGAGAAAGCTGTCTTAGGAACACACGCAAGGGAGACCTTCGATGAACATTCTGGGATCTCACAGTTTGCATACATAGAGGGAGGGAGCTGTACCAATGCTCTACTGACTATCCAACATACTGTCAATCAATATCTTGATATCCCAGAGTGCAAAGCGGTACGCCTATTCGCTATGGATTTCAGCAAGGCTTTTGATAGTGTGAAACACGATCTCCTCTCACACAAATTGAAGCAACTCCCCCTAAATCCTTTTATAGTTAACTGGTATCTAAGCTTTTTGGAAGACAGGCAGCAGAGAGTCATTAGAAATGGGTTTATTGGAAAATGGAAAAGTGTCAACAAAGGTACCACCCAAGGAAGTGTCAGCGGGCCGCACTTGTTCAATGTCTTTCTCAGTGATTTAGAGATACACTTGGACAATAAGAGCGTGCTGGTAAAATATGCAGATGATACAACCATTATCTCGCCTGTGATAGGTGATAATGACAATTCTATCGCACTGATTAATCAGTTTTCCCAGTGGTCTAGAAGTAATGGTATGTGTAGCAATCCATCTAAGTGCAAGGAAATCATTTTCCGCAAGAAAGGTTGTACAATAGAGTTTCCGATGGTGTCTGGAATACCAGAGACAAAAGAGCTTACTATTTTAGGGGTAACATTTCAGGAAGACAGTAGGTTCATAACACATATTCGGGAAAAACTAATCAAAGCAAACAAGTGCCTGTTCATTTTAAGATCTTTAAGGAAAGAAGGGTACAATCAGGCCAAAATAGACCATCTGTTTCTAAATCTGGTTCTACCAAATATATTATACGGGCTGTCCGTATTTGGCGCTGTAAATTCCGAATGAACAACAATCCAATGTTTCTTGGATCGATGTTATAAGCGCAAGTATACATCCGACCACATTAATGTTTATGAATTGTTAGTTCAACAGGACACACGTATCTTCAAGAATGTTTTTAATAATACAATACACCCTTTAAGAGCTATAATGCCAAAAAAGAAATCAACCAAGTACAATCTGAGGAAAGAGACAAGTCACCATCCTAAAATAAACACTGATAGGTTCAAAAACACGTTTGTCAATCGCTTAATTTTTAAACATAATCTAGTCTTATAATTTTTATCTTGATTTTCTCTGTAATTTATATATATACCTTCTTTTAATGTTGTAACATAGGATATGTGATTATTTATCTTATGACTTAATAAAGATTCAATTCAATTCAATTCAATTCAATTCAATCTGGTAGACATTGAGTAAACAGATATGGATAGTGTTGAGGTAACAGTAGTTCTTAGTAGTACTGTGTCTGGAATCATCGTCCAAAAGGAGGTGCGTGAAGATCCCTAAGTAAGGCTCACCCCTAGGAGTGAATACCTAAGTCGGCTGGA